CCATCTTGTGACTCAGTCACGCTTCACAGGGACCAGTGAGCACCACCCGTTTTCTCCTAAGATACACCCATGTTAGGCCCTGGGGAATGCCAAAACTTGAGTTTCAAAAATGAAGGTGAAAAAAAATTTCCACAGGCCTCCAGACAGAGAAAGGACGTGACCTTCAAAGGCACCAAAGTCTAGGCGGCCTCTGACTGAGCAACACTGACCGCGGCAGACAGTGGAACCAGGTCAGGATCCCACACCTGCCTCGGCAGTGTCCACACAGACGGGCAACACCGTGGGGTGCTGTCGCTCACAGCGGTTCAGAAGAGAGAGCGCCCACAGGCCCTTTGTGAAAAAAGTCTTTGAAGGCGCGTTGACTGTCTGGAGAGGAATTAAAATATAGAATTCGGGGCGCCTGGGTGGCTCAGTGGGTTAAACCCTCTGCCTTCGGCTCAGGTCATGATTTCAGGGTCCTGGGATCGAGCCCCGAGTCGGGCTCTCTGCTCCGCAAGGAGCCTGCTTCCCCCTCTCTCTCTCTGCCTGCCTCTCTGCCTGCTGGTGATCTCTCTCTATCTCTGTCAAATAAATAAAATCTTAAAAAAAAAAAATTTCTCTCTCCCTCTCCTTCTGCCCCTCCCCCATGCATTCTCTCCCTCTGTAAAATAAGTAAGATAAATCTTTAAAAAAAAAATACAAAATTCACAAATGGGGAAGCTGAGGCATCGTGGAAGGACCAAAATGAGCAGTAAAACAGTTACATCTTGGAAATAAACTGTTGTTCTAAACATGTTTTAAAATTGGATGTTAACCACGTATGAGAAATTCTAGAACAGGCGACCCCATCCTACGCTTCCAGGAGGCAGGGACTGACGGCAAGGTCATGGGAACGCACCCCTGAGCTCAGCCCATTTCAGAGCTGCCGCGGGATTTCCCCCGTGTGCGGAGTATGAGAAACAAACAAAACTAACAAAAGGCAGAAACAGACCCACAAACTGGTGGTCGTGGGGTGTGGGAGGGGGGAGGGGAAATGTGGTGGGAGGGGTGTGGGGGGAAGGGTGGCCTGGGGAGGGGTGGGGGAGGGGCGGGAGAGACGAGAGGCACAGTACAGGACAGAGTCAGGGGCACACTGGTGCCCTGACGACACTCATGAAGCTAACGTAACACCGAGTGTCAGACGTGCACCACGGAAATGATTCCTGCTTTGTCTGAGACAGAAGGAGAGAGAGCGCATGTGGGGGGACAGAAGGGAGAACCCCAAGCAGACTCCTCACTGAGCAGAGAGCCCCATGCGGGGCTCGATCCCACAACCCTGAGACCACAACCTTTGCCGAAATAAAGAGACCCTTAACTAGCCACCCAAGCACCCCGATAAAAATAATTTTTAAAAAGATCAGTACCTTTCACTGCCATCACATCTCACAGGGGGACCCTCCACACTGAGTCCCGTCTCTGGGTGCGGTGGCATCTGTCCGTGGGTTCCAGCCTCCCGGGAGCACGATGGCTTCTAGCCTGTCTTTATCACACTCGTCTCTATTGCACGTGCTTGCGCTACTGTAACGGCATGACTCATTTCCGTTTTTGATTGTCCTGTGCTAATACCATCAACACAGCCCACTTTTACAAAGCGACCTCGCACCCTGCAGTCTTGGTGAACTCACCTGCCGGCTCGACAGCCTTCCTGGCCGTTCCATTCGGTTTCCGCACCAGGGACCCCCATCTAGGAACAGAGGCAGCTTCGCATCTCCCCTCCCGACCCGATGCCCCTTATTTCTTCTTCCTACGGTGCCGTCAGGGCTGGGACCTCCACGGGCAGCATGCAGAACAGGCCCTCGGCCACGGGGAGGGGGGCGCGCGGCCGGGGGGCGCGGTCTTGTCCCACGACGGATCCCTTTGAGCAGGGCTTTTATAGCGGGCGCTCCGTCCGGCAGAGGGCGCCCCGCTCTGCTCAGCCGGATTTGATCAGAGCTGAATGTGGGGTTTGTGTCAAATTATCAGGCTACCGCAAATAAAATCACACCGGGACGGCCACACTCAGACCCATCGACCCAAGCATCGGCGAGGACAGGGGCGACCGCGACCACCTCGTAGGCAGGCGTGTGCCCTGCAGAAACCAAAGCGCACGTGCATGCAAAATCCCACACACGGACGTTCACAGTCGCTTTACTGGTCACGTCCAAACACGGGAAACAACCCACATCCTCGTTGAGGGGCAAACAGACCGGCCACGGGATCAACCGCAGAATCGCCGCGGGCCGGCAGCAAGAAGGCACGCACGGCGGAAGCCAGCAGGAACATGACAGTTCCCGAAATAATTACACTCAGCGAGACATGAGACCCAAACAAGGTCCACACTGTAGGATTCCTTGACGTAAAAGTCCTGAAAATGCAAACTTATCTACTGAGACAGGAAACAGACTAGTGGTGGCCCGGGGTGGGGGGCGAAGGTGACGGCCACGTGTGCACCAGGACTGTGGCCACCGCTGCTGGTATATTCAAATGTCAAAACGTACCCAAGTGCACACGTCAACTATGCACGGTTACTACCAACAGTTCCGTCTCAGCAGAGCTGCTGAGACGTGGAGAACCAGTGTGTACGGGAACGTCGCTGCTACAAGTCGTTACTGGAAGACTGGACGCATGGTAACAAGAACACTTCCTAGCAGGACAGGGTTCCAGGACCACAACGTCAGCGAAGACCAGCCCGGCAGGGGGAACACCTCGGAACCAAAGCCGCGAGAGCTCCCATCGCCACAGAGAATCAAGAGTCGGGATCATTCTTGATTTTGCCATTTAGACAAATATCCTTTTTGAACTATAAAGGAACTTCAAATCCAGAAGGGGCCGTTAGACACCAGGGCCTCCTGTTTTAGGACGCATCAGTGCCAACCCATCAAAGGGTGGGGGACGGACCCCCTGGCCCTCCAAACCTCCCCGGAGCCAGGGGCAAGGTGAGCAGCGGTCCCGGGGTGGGGACGGGGACGAGCACAAGGACAGGGATGTGTCAAGCCCACCAGCCCCACCCTGCCTCCTCGATGTTAGACTTGAGGATCCCCTGGCGACCACCCAGCAATCCCACTACTGGACACGTGTCCGCAGGGAAGGGAAGCCCCACGCCGAGGACACAGCCGCACCCCACATTCACGGAGGCGAAGACGCGGAAACGGCAAACTCTCCACGGCCAGAAGAGCAGATGAAGAAAACATGCCGCCCGCACGCACGACAGCCATGTGCGGTGATGGGGTCACCACCGAGCCTCCCTCCATGCCGACGATCTCACAACACACATGCGCATCCCATCGCCGACACGGTGTCCCGTGGGCCCGTCACCACGCCAGGAGGAAGCATGAGGAGCAAGCCCTCTCCAAGCTCACACCCCACTGAGCCCCGAGTCTTGGGTGCGCGCAGGGACGGCCGCCTTCCCGGGGGTGGGGCCAGCATCCCTGACCCTGAAGGACACGCGCCAGGGAAGGCGGACAGACGCAGGCTTCTGGGACACATGCTGACCCCGTGCAGGCTCTGCCGTCCGGGGCCCTCAGGCTGCTCCCGGCTCCGTGGGGGTGAGAACACCCCAGCCTGTATGGCAGACGGTGACCCTGACGACACGGGCCATTCCGTTCCACGACTACCAGGGCTGTGGCTGCTGCGCCCACGGCTCCAAGCTCCAAGTCCAGGCGGCACCTTCTGAGCCGTCCTCTCCTTCTTCACAAATTCTTAAAGTGCTTGAGGGGTGCCTGGGGGTCTCCACGGGTCACACGTCTGCCTTCAGCTCAGGTCATGATCCCGGCGTCCTGGGGTCGAGCACCGTGTCGAGCTCCTGGCTCAGCAAGGGGTCTGCGTAGCTTCTCCCTATCCTTCTGCCCCTCCCTCATCTCTCTTTAAAGTAAAATAAATAAAGTTTCTCTTCAAAATAACAAAATAGGGGCACCTGGGGGGCCCAGTCGGTGAAGTGACTGCCTTCGGCTGGGGCTGCGATCCCGGGTCAAGCCCCGCGTCCGGCTCCTGGGTCAGCAGGGAGCCTGCTTCTCCCCCTCCTTCCGGCTTCTATTCTCTCACTATCTCTGTTGCTGTCTCTCTCAAATAAATGAAATCTTTAAAAATAAGTAACATGGGGCACCTGGGTGGCTCAGTGGGTTAAAGCCTCTGCCTTCAGCTCAGATCATGATCCCAGGATCCTGGGATCGAGTCCCGCATCAGCCTCCATGCTCAATGGGGAAACTGCGTCCCCCTCTCCCTCTGCCTGCCTCTCCCCCTGCTTGTACTCTCTCCCCACACCCCAAATAAATGAATTAAAAAAAAAAACAAAACCTTGGGTGCCTCGGTGGCTCAATGGGTTAAGCCTCTGCTTTCAGTGCAGGTCATGGTCCCGGGGTCCTGGGATCGAGCCCCACATCGGGCTCTCTGCTCAGCAGGGAGCCTCTTCCCTCTCTCTCTGCCTGCCTCTCTGCCTGCTTGTGATCTCTGTCTGTCAAATAAATAAATAAAATCTTTAAATAAATAAATAACATAAATAACAAAATAAATAACATAAAATATAAAATAAAGTAAAATAAAACAGGTCACGTCCAAAGCCCACCATGGGCACGCAGAGGCTCGATCCGGTGACGTGACCAGCCCAGGGCCACACCACGGTTCCAGGGAGTTCGTGGATCTCCAACACTGCCGTGGCTCTATGGTACCGCAGACCCGCTGGGCACTTGCTGGTGGCGTAGCACCTGGAGCCTCTCGTGGGGCCGTCCCTGAAGACGAGACCGTCAGACCCCAAACCTGCCTCCCTCGCAAGCAGGCCCACCTCCCACGTGGCCCAGGCCGGGCTCAGCAGGACACGGCCACCCAGATGGGAGCCAGAGCGGGGCCCACAGTGCCCTGGCTGTCGGGCCCCCACGCGGCTGTGCTGGCGTCCGGGGAGTGAGAGCCGTGGGCGGCGGAGTGCGCTCCAGGACGGTTTATTAGGCTTGGGAGCCCTGGGTTGAGGGCATCCCGACAGGGCAGCCGGGCTAGCACCAGGGGCCCCTCTTTGCCCTTTGGTCTCCTCCTAAAGAGGCGGGGCGGTCCTGTGCCTGAGGCGAGGTCCCCGCGGTGTCCTGGCTTGTCAGGCATTGGCCGGGCCCTCAGCCAGCGTCGGAGACCACACGTCCGGGAGAGGCGCAGCGTCCGCCGCTCCCGGGACCTGGCACGGACGCCGGGACTGGACAAACGCCACCAGGTTCTCCAGCTGCTCCTCCAGGCGCCGCTCGTCCCCGTGGTTCTCAAGGACCCAGTCGAAGGCCCCAAAGTCGTCCAGGCCACACTCTGACTCGGCATCGTCAACCCCTGCGCAGGGGGCGTGGTGAGGTCAGGCCCCGTCCACGCAGGCGGCCCCTGGGCATGTAGGCCTGCTGGCCCCAGATGGAGCTGCCCCTCCTGGCCTCCCTTGTGCCACCAGAGAGCCTCCTGCACCCACCCCCAGCTGGCTGAGCGCCCCCAGAGTGTCCACTGACTTTGTCCTTTGTGGCCACTGTCCACGGAGTGTGGATGGATCTTCTGAAACCACAGAACCCAGCGGGATGGGCGGCTTTCAGCTTACGGGAAGCCTCTGATCCCATCCTCTGGGGAGGGTCTGCCGGGCAGGTTTACGAACCGCAGAATGAGATCGTGCATGCGGAACGCCAGCACAGGCCTGCCTGCAGCAGACACCCAGGGGACAGCAGCCTCACAGAGCAGCGCCCGCTGGGGCCTGGGACCTCGGGCACAAAGAAGCCTCAGGGCAGGACCCAGGCTCGCCCGCCCCACACAGACATGCTGCTCATCAAACACCCGGGAAGCAGAGGTAAAGGACCCAGCAGCGGGTCCCACTGGCCTAGAGGGGCCGGCCCAGGTAAGGGCACCAGGCCAAGGTCATGGGCAAACCGTCGGCCCCAAGGACACCCTCCCCCACCCCACTCCAGTCTCTAACTGGGGGCAGTCTTGAGCTCCAGGCCCCAGATCCCCTCTTACCCTCCCTGGCTCAGCCCCCACAGCCTGCCAGGAAGAGCGCAGACTGAGAGCATGGGGGCTGGGATGAAGGCCGTGCGTGGCTCACCTGGGGTGAACTCCCAGCCACGCTGCTGTCGGCTCTGCTCCGAGGCCACCACGCGCACCGTCTGTGTCATAGCCCCATAGGCCTCCCGGAACCACTGGATGTCTGACAGCCTCCGTGTGTCACTCACCAGCTGCAGGAAAGAGCACAGGCAGGTGACCAGCGGACAGAGGGCAGAGGGACAGAGCCCCCGGAGGTGGTGGGAAGACCCAGCCCACCCCCCGACACAAGCCAGCACAGAGAGCTAGGAGGGGCTAGCAAAGCCAGACAGGTATCACCCGTGACCCCGCAGTCACCCGCTGTCCCCCACTTGCAGGTCACCCTCCCAGTCGCCATGGACCCGCCACATCCTGGGGCCGCTGCTGAGCTGAAGCAGAGGCTCAGGCTTGGAGGTCAGATCAGCAGGTCCAACACTTGTGTTTTGCAGATGAACAGACTGAGGCCAGAAACGGAGATGCTCCCAACACTTTCTAACACCGAAGACAGATCACTGCCTAAACCCCTCAAAGGCCTCCCATTGCTCTAAGAAAATCTGAAGTCTACGGCCAGCTTATAGGGCCCTACACGACCTGGAAACCACCGTGTTCCTGCAAACCCCACCCACCGGACCCCTCTGGTCTGTCCCCAGACACACCACCCACGTGCTCTCGGGGACACACGTGGCCCCTGCTGCCCGGCCAAGCGCGGGCCAGGCTCCCTTGCCGACAGACATCTCTGTCCCAGTGTTCCTCCTGCGGGACGCTTTCTACCACCCTGATTCCCTTCCCCCCCCTTCCCTGGCCACGCTGGGGACATCCCGCCAAGCAGCAGGGCCCTGAAACCATCACCATCTGTTAGGTTGCTCGTGGCCGGCAGCTGCCCTCCCAGGAGTCCACTCCACGACGGAAGGCCTTGGGGACGCTCCCAGCAGCAGCACGTGCTCCACGGACCAGCCAAGCAGCAAATGGAGAGACCAGCGGCTGGTGCTGATGCTGACATATTCGCTCCCCAGGAGCCACGTGCGTGTCATAGCGACACTGGTGTGCAGGCACTCAGCCGGTGCAGGGAAGGCACGGACATGGTGCTCACGGCCTCAGAGCCCAGACGTCAACCCGGCAGCTTCCAGCCCAGCCGTGCCATGGGTGCCCCTCAGTGACACCAAGCTCCAATCCTGTCCCCACACCTTCCCCGGCTCAGAAAACTCTTGTCTGTCCGGCTGCTCGGAGCCAAACCCTTGCAGGGCCTCCCGCCTCACACCACGGTCTGCAGCCCGTGCAGAGCCCGCCTCGTCCCCGCATCTGAGCCCCAGACCCTCTACCCGTCCAGAAAGACCCGCACCCTGGCCTCCACTTCCTCGCCTGACCCCCATGCCTCTCCCCCGTTCAGGTGCCTTCCAGGAGCCCAGACCCCGCTCTTCCAAAGCACCGGCTTGACTCAGCCTCACCTCCTGCCACTTGCCCCCCACTCGCGAACCCCTACTTGGCTCAGGCCCTCGCCTCCTACGGGCCCTGCTCAAGTGCCGTGGGGCCCGGGGAAGCCTCTTCACAGCCCTGGCCTGCTTTACCTTGCTGCTGAGTATCGACGCCCACCTGACGCCTTCTGTCTTCCTAACGCCCTCCAGCCTGTGCGATAACGGAAATTCCCTCAGAGCAGGGACTTCGGTGTATGTTCGCAGTGACGAACCCTCCACATTGCCAGGAGCCAGGCTGGTACACAGCATACTGGCTGCCAGAATGAGGAGGTCGGAAAGGGGTTTGGTACTATGGGAGCACTGGACGGCAAGCATCAGTCGAGGCCCGGGTATCAGGGAAGGCTTCCTGGTGGAGGCGGCGTGCAAGCCAGGCTGGGGTGAACACGGTGAGGAGGGAAAGAAGGGGCGTCTCCAGCAGGCAGAACACCCACAAAGGCCCTGACTCCAGAAGGAGGCTGACTTGTGGGACAGAGAGAAGCCGGCACAGCCGCAGCGTAAGGAGCAGGGCAGCTAATCAGCAGCAGGACCGGACGGCTCAGGGCCTGGAAGTCTGTCACGGATGTCAGTGTGGTTCAACAGACAAAGGTTCTTGGCAGAGCAGTGACCGGTCTTGGATTGTTCCCAAACTGCTGTTCTGGCTGCTGGGTGGGGAAGGGACCGTAGGGGACGAGGACAGAAGCCGGGGCCAGGGCCGGAGCTCACACTGTCGGTGAGATTCAGCAGGAGGGGAAGGCAGTGAAGATGCGGACAGAGAAGGCGAGTGGCCAAAGGCCGAGGAGCCACTCACCCAGATGGGCTGAGAGACGCCCTCCACGACCTTCCTGCAGAAGAAGCCTGGGTCTGCCTGGCGCTTCTCCTCTCCCCAGCGGATCATGTCCCTCCGGTAGGCCTCCTTGTAGGCGCTGGCGTCCAGGAGTCTCTGGAAGTCCAGGCCATGCTCCTGCCCAGAGCGCACAATGTCCACACCACCGGCCTCCACCTCCCCGGTCTCTCCTGAAACAGGGGAAGGGCCATCCCCGCCCTCCCCCTTCCACCCCGCGGGAGCAGTGCAAGGACCAGGAGGCTGCCACCAAGACCCAGGTCTGCAGGGACAGGGAGCTGGAAACAGAAATCCCCAAGGGCAGCAGATGGAAGACAAGCCTGGGCGATCCGGAAGTCATTCCAGTTTATCTTTAAAACGTGTGATGTGGGGGCGCCCGGGTGGCTCCGTGGGTTGGGGCCTCTGCCTTCGGCTCAGGTCATGATCCCAGAGTCCTGGGATCAAGTCCCACATCAGGCTCTCTGCTCTGCGGGGAGCCTGCTTCCTCCTCTCTCTCTGCCTGCCTCTCTGCCTACTTGTGATCTCTGTCAAATAAATAAAATCTTTAAAAAATAAATAAATAAATAAATAAATAAATAAATAAAAATAAAACGTGTGATGTGGCTTTTCTCTCTTGCAACAGCTTTACTTCCCCAAGTATTTCTGGCTTAAACTAGTCCTGAAATGAGTCTGCATCCCCTGGGCACCGGCTTGGCCTCCAACAAAGAAACCTGAAAACAGCGCATGCCCAGCATCCCCACCCCTCGCCCCAGGCTTTGTCTCCCTCTTCTCCCCCACCCGCAAGGTCCAGGCTCCTCCATCTGGCTCCAAGGACTCCTGGGGGCAAGAGGGGCGGCTCGGAGCATCCGCTCAGGCCATCCTTGCTTGCCTTCCCTTTCCTCAGGACACAGAGGACAGGAGGGGTCCTCCCAGGGGCGCCAGGGCGGGAAGGGGTCTGAAACTCGACACTCGGGGCAGCTTCCGGATCCTCTAACTCGGGGCAGCTGGACCTTCCCAGACTCAGTTTCTTCGTCTGCAAACTGAAGGGCTGCAACCTTCCTGTGCCCCGCTCCACAGTGAGGCCGGCCGCCACCCCACGTAGGGAAACTAGGTCCCCACGTCCTCTAGAGCGAGGGGAGGAGCGGCCACCAGGAGCATTATGTTCTGTTTTCAGTTACAGTCCCCGCTGTGACTGAACAAAACAACACATTAACACTCGTTCCAGATGGTTATGGAAAGTAGGCTCCACACCCAACGCGGGGCTTGAACCCCCAACCCTGAGATCGTCACAGGCTCCACCCACTGCGCCAGACAGACGCCACGGATTTTTTTTTTTTTTTTAATGGGAGTGGGAGATGTAGGGGTGGCTGACCAGTCAGTTACCTATTGAGGTTTTTAAAATGTAAACTCCTGGGACGCCTGGGTGGCTCAGTTGGTGAAGTGCCTGCCTTCGTCTCGGGTCACAATCTCAGGGTCCTGAGATCGAGCCCCGCGTCGGGCTCTCTGCTCAGCGGGGAGCCTGCTTCCCCCCTTCTGTCTGCCTGTCTCTATGCCTACTTGTGATGTCTCTCTGTCAAATAAATGAATAAAATCTTTAAAAAAAATAATAATAAATAAAAATTAAAATTAAAAAATAAACCCCCTGCACCCGTTCTCCTCAGGTAGCCCCCCAAGGCTGCCATCCTACAAATGGGTCTGTTTAGTTGGAGGGAGAAGATCAAATGGAACAGCATACGGACAGGGCGACTGATGCATGGAAGGAGGAAGACAAATTCGTTTTGTGTCACCCCAGAAGGCCAGACTCAGGCCAACTGAACAAGGGGCTGGGAGCACAGGTCCCTGGACAGATGCACCCAGAAGCCAGGGGCAGAAATGTAAGCAACAAGGGCCCCTCCCAGTCTGGGAAGCTGGTCTCACCTTCAGGGCTTCCAGCCTGAACACCAAGGCTTTAAGAGGTCCCGTGTGTTTTTTTACAATCCTTTTTTTTTTTTCTTTTTAATCGACATGGTTCAAAATTCAAAAGATACATATTTGTTTACAGTGAAAGATCTCTCTCCCACCACTGCTCCCCTCCCTGGAGGCAGCCGATGACATAGCCTCCTACGTACCCCACCCTGGCTTCTCACACCCCAAGCACCCCAGAAATACTTGTTATGTGGCTGAAAATATAAGCAAATATATTTACGACTTTTCTCCATTTTTATACAAATGTAGTGTTCTCTGTGCACAGTCCTACATCTTGCTTTTCACTTAATGAGGTATCTTGACACCCCAGATGATTCGATGTCTTGGGGAAGAATCCCAGGCCCTCACAATAACCCAGCCTCAGATTGGGCAGCTCGCTTCTCCAGCCTCTCCTGAACAGGCTTTCCTGAACATACTCTGGGGAGGTGGCCAGAAGCTTAAGGAGCAAATGTCCCCAGCGGTCATGCCACAGGAAAGCAAGAGCTGTCCACCCCCTGCCGCCAGCGGTCATGGGGACCGTGCTCAGGATGAGAGCCAGCACATAAGCAGGCTCCTCCCGACCCACCCGACGCCACAGAGCCCCCACCTACCTGAGCGTACTGTTCCTTGAGTGGACACGAGAGTCGGAGGACAGCACAGACATCCTCGCCAAGTCTGCAGGACGGGCAGAACCAAACCCAGTTAACCTAGTTTCCAGGACCCTAACAAGTCCAGGGCATTGAGGTCCCCTTTCCTTTTTCCTTCTTTCTTTCTGTTTTTTTCAGTAGGCCCTACCGGGCTTGAACTCATGACCCCGAGAGCAAGAGTCTGAGTCACATGCGCTACTGACTGAGCCAGCCAGGCAGCCCTCTGAAGTCACATTTCTGCTCTGTATCTCTGTGACTGTCACATCTCCTCCCTGACCGTAACTCTTCACCTATATGGTGGGGACAGCACTTTCTGTTGTGTCCTGCGGGATTATTGGGAAACGGGCAAGTCAACAGTCCTGAAACTAACAAGTAGGACAAACACGACCAGAATTCCACTGGCCATGTTCCCTGGATGAGGTTACTGCCCGGCCCCTGGCCTAGTTCTCACACAGCCAGGGTCTCTCGGTCTCCACCGCCGTGGTCACCGTAGCATGAATCACTCATTCACTCCCCTGTTCAGTTACTCCATCGGTCATTTGTGGGGCGCTGGATCTGGACCCCGGGAACACATCGCTCCTGCCCCGTCCTGGAGCGGCTCACAGACTCTTCCACACTGACCAGGGAGACCAGCGCTCTGATCTCCACCATTCAGGTGCGGAGCCTGAGGGTGGGAACTCATGGCCCCAAAGCAACACGGCAGGGAGTAACAGCCACCATCCTGCTCCAGTCTCTCCCAGGCGCCAAGGACTGTTCTAAGCTCTTCGCAGGCATGACTCCTGGAAGCCTTATGAGCAGCCTATGACGATCTCCACTGGCAGATGAGGAGACTGGGACGCCAGTGGCTAAGACTCTGCAAGATCCCAAACAAGGAGGTGGAAAGTCAGGCTGCAAACTCCGGGGGTGCACCTGCACAGGCCCTGCTTCTGACGCCGACCTGACTCGTGCGTGCGGGGGCGGGGGGGGAGGGCAAGGAGAAATGCAGCTAAGGGAAAGGGGTTTGGGTCCCTGGTGTGAGCCCAGGGCGACCTCTGCCCAGGCCCCCCACGACCTCGTCCAGCAACTCCCACGCCCCCGGCCCGTCCCGGCATTACTGCTCCGATCACAGCACCTCGCTGAGACAGAACACAGGCCGGGAGCTAGAGCAGAGGGGAGGCACTCCCGGCAGCCGCCGCTGAAGCTGTCACCGGCTCCCGGACGCCCGCCGACGCCTCCCTGAGCCCAGCCCTCGCGCCATCGGGCGCCCCTCCGCCCCGCCCCGCGGACACCTGCTCCTCAGCGCCTCGGCCACGAAATCCTTCCCGGACTTCCTCTTCCCGCTGACCAGCAGCACCAGGCACGGGACTCCTCGCTGCGGAGCCATGCGGCCTCCTTCCCCCGCCGTCCAGGCTCCCGCCCGCGCCGGGACCCCGGGACAGCGCCCGCGCAGCCGCAGAGAGGGCCGCCGTGGACACGCCCCTACCGCCGCACGCCGACGGAGGGCGTGGCTCCGCCCGAAGGACGGTCCCCCGCGGAGCTCCCTCGGAACGGCCCAGCCCCGCCCGGAGCCTGACGTCACCCGGACACAACCATTCTCTTCTAGGGGGTGAAGCCCTGAAATGCCCCGAGCTGAGCCTCACCATTGCGCCACGCAGCCCTGGAAACCCGGAGAGAAAGAACAGCCGAGATCAGGCCGAGCAGGTCTGCGGGTCTCCCTCCTCGGTTGCGCACCGAGGCGCACGGACTAAAAGCGACCTCGTCAGTGCCCCGCGGTGAACGTGGGTCCTCCCGGAGGGGCGGGAGGGGGCGGTTCGGGGGGCGTGTCTGTGACGTCAGGCGGGGCCCGGGAAGCTCGCGGGTTTGCGGACGTGGGAGCAGGCGCTGCGGTTCCCGCAGGCGCATTAGCGCGCGGGCGGCTTGCGGGCGCTGGCCGGGTGGGACGGACCTGGCGCGTTGGCGGTGGTGGGGTGCGCTGAAGGGGGTGGGAGTCAGCCCGGCCCAGACGACCTCGTGCTACCCGGAGTCGGGCCGAGACCCTGGAGGTGCGGGGGTCCGCCCGCTCCCGGGAAGCCCGCGGCGGGAGCGGCCGTCCCAGAGCAGCGAGCGCCGTCGCCCTGAGCTGGGACCCGCCGGCCTGCTAGTCTGCGCTTGTCCGCTGCTGCGAGCCGCGAAGGCCAAGGCCGTCGGGGAGAGAAGGGAGCGTGGGCGGGGAGCCCCGGGCTCGCGGCGTCCTGGGCGCAGAAGCCCAGGGGGGCCTGGGCGCGGCCGGACGCGGAGAGAACGGGCCCCTGGAAGGTGCCGTGTTTGGTCCGGTTCGAAGCAAGCGTGCGGTCCCCGCGCTCGTTCGTGGCTCGGCGCTGCACACCGTGGGGCTCCCTGCCAGCTCGGACCCGCTCGGGCCTTGGGCGAGATCGCGGGCTGCGGGGCTGCGGCATCTTCGCCGCGCAGTGGGGCAGGCGCTCCTTGTCCCGTCGTTCCGGTTTCAGCGAGGATTCGGCCTCCCAGCGCGCCCTCTGCAAGCGCGTGTTCGGGGCCCACGGAAGGCGCAGAGCCCTCCTCCACCGCTAGAAGGACTCGGGACTCCCCCTGGGTCCTTCTTCCACCTGACCCGGATCCTCTCCCATCCCCGCTGCGCGGAGCTCCCAGCATTTCCCAGCGGACGATCCCATCGGAAATACCCTCACCGCTTCTAAGAGTCGCCTCAGTGTCCACCCCCCCTCAGATGGAGGGTTTATCCGCCCCCAGCCCTCCTACCTCAGCACAGACTTCGTTTCCGAGGCCTCCCTCCTTTCCATGTCCACTTCCCTAGCCACCTGGAAAACTCCAGCTCCTGCAAGGCTTGTAACCACCCGGCTGGGTGGCCTTTTTCCTGATCAGTGCGGGCCGGCAATCCCGGCACTTCTTCCCGCACTGCAGCTTGGCCCTCGGCTCCGAGGCCTCATTACCTGCAGGGTGACCCTTGACCTCAGATGACCAGAGGGTTCTTCCTCCTCCTCGCCTCAGACACTGCTCCCCTGGAACACCCTGGGCCTTGTCCCCTGAAGCCGGTCAGCCTGCTGAGTCCCCCACGGAGCCGCCCTGCTCTCCAGGGCCGCTTGCTCACCTACTCCCCAAAGCGGTGCTTTCCTCGCAGAGACACCAACAGCCCTTGAAATTAGGGCCTCGCCACACGGGCTCGTCCTTCCCGCCACCACCAAGAGAACGCACATACGATAGCGTGCGTGAAAAACGTTTGCAAGCTGTGCGGTTCTGCACAAACATGAGGCCCTCCTCCTGGTCTGCAAGCTGGGTGCTGCGGAGGGTGAGGCGGGGAAGAGGGGAGGACCAGGATTGTCAGGCAGACGCAGCATGAGCCAGGAAGGCACAGCCTGAGTTCTGGGTGGACGCCAGCCCACGCAGCCTCCTGCGGGTTCCGGAAGACGAGGCTTGAAGAGGCCAGTGCCCGCCTCCGATGATAACACAATTACGCCTGGGAGTCACCCCTCACTAAGAAGGCAGACCATTTTTTTTTAAGATTGTATTTATTTATTTGACACCGAGAAAGAGGGAGGGAGAGAGCGCAGGCAGAGACTGAGGGAGACCCGTGGGGCTCCATCCCAGGACCATGGGATCACAACCTGAGCCAAAGGCAGATGCTTCAGCGACTGAGCCGCCCCGGCGCCCCTAAACAACACATTTTTAAATAAAGATTCACGATTGAGAAAATCATTTTTGTTCTTCTGTTAGGTGATTATGCACTGATGTCAGCTTTGGAGGTGGGGAACTGACCCCACGGCCACCGAAAGAGTCCTTTATTGATTTCATTTCATGGTCTTCTAGTGACAGAAGCTGGCTCTTATTTTATTTAGGGGGCGGACCGACGGGCCTCGTCGGGAGCCATGAGCAGAGGAGCTGGGTCTGCGTGGCGCGGGCACCCCGGAGCTACTTCCCCCGCTCTTCCCCAGCACCCCACTCTTGCTTCCCAAACACAGCGGTGACACCAGCCTGGGGGCCCCCGGACCTGCTGCGCCCACAATCATGCACTCGCGGGGGAACGAGGGGGGCATCCTGTTGCTGGGAAGCCCTCATGCCAAGGTTTCTGCCCCCTGCCCCACCCCCACCCTCCTGCCATGGGCTGCCTCAGTGACAGCCCGAGGCCACCTTCCAGAGGCAAGCATGCAAGTCTGCGTGGCCCATGGGTGCGGGGCCTTCCAAATGGGGCTGCTGCTTTCCTCTCCATGCACCTGGCTTCAGTTCCCGCCTGCCCTGTGCCAACCTGACGACTGTCCCTCTGACGGTGGTCAGGGTCTCAGCACCGACCTTGGAGGCCGCTCCCCTTGGGCTCTGTAAGGTTAAGCTCCTGACTTCTCCAGCGGGGCCCTGCCTTGGAGGGAATGGGGAGAGGGGGCACCCACGTGTCTGGAGTCGTGGGTGACGAGCCGATAAGCCGGCGCTCTCCCTCATCCCGTGGAGTCCAGCCCCGCTGCTTTCTCCTCTCCCCCGCACTGCAACACCAGCACCTCCTTTCCCAGCGCTGCAGGGGTGCAGGGGAACGTGGTCACCCAGCTGTTCCAAGGCTGGAAAGCTAGAGTCCTTGACCCACCCCCCACAGGTCCCCCAGCCTGGGCCCACCCAAGGCTCATCCAGTCCGTCGCATGCTCCAAGTCAGGCCCGTGTCACCTTGCTCCTGGGCTGTTGGCGGACACTTCCTAAGTACCCCAGTTTCTCAGCTGGTCCCTTCCGTCCTGGCTGCCCGCACGCAGGCCCGAGTACACCTTCCCTCACACAGGTGTCCTGCCCCAGTGCCCTCAGTAGCACCCTCCCCCTTCCCCCCCAACAGAGCTCCTCCGGCAGCCTTGCAGTGGGCCTGTAGGAGAATCCTGACCCGTCCCCTTAGCCATCTGGCCACAGGGCTTTCCCCCTCCCTCGGGCCTGACCGCGGTCTGGTCGGAGGCCCCCTCCCCCCGTCGCAAATCCTGTAATCCTTCCCAGTTCCTCTTGTTAGCTAGGCCAAGTCCGGCGGGCCTGGGTCTGCACAGTGGCACAGAGCTGGAAGCAAGAGCTCCTCCCCCCAGCCAGCTCCCGCCCTATGTTTTGGGAACCAGCCCTTTCTCCTCTCAGAGCCCCCAGCTCCCCCCTTAGAGCTTGGCTAAACCAAGAAAACTACTCTTTGTGATGGCTACAGTTTTCTGCTTGTCCGTCGTCATGACTGATTTCCCCCTCGGGACAAGCTCTGGGGCGTTGCTCACAGTCTCCGCTTTACTGATGGGAAAGCTAGGCCCAAAAGCAGGGAGGGGCACCTCACCACCTCACCGGAGGCCCACAGGTGAGCGGGGGCGGGGGGGGGGGGGGGGGGGGTGACTCAGTGTTCTGACCTCAGAGCCTGCTCTGGCCCAAGGTCTAGTTAGGAGAGACCTGGGCGGTCTGGGCCTCCACGTGGCCCGGAGTAAAGAACCAGGGAATGGGGCAGGGCCTACCGCGGCAGCCAGGGCTTACCAGAGAGATGGGCCATGACCTTCCACGAGGCTGGGGGCAGAGAGCTCAGACAGCTGTGCAGGAGAGCAGATGAACAGGGCTTCTGTGGCTCAGACAGCTCAGGTCAGCTGGGAGGGAGGGCCCTGTGCTGTTTGGGTTGAGGGCCGAGTGGCCCAACCGCCACCCTGCAGCGTTCCTACCTGACCCGCAAAGAAGGTGACGTGTGAAAGGACCAGGAACACTTGTGGTCCAGAACAAGCCTGATGGGGGGACATCCCTGCATCGAGGTGACCCTGGGAGGTTCCCAAGGTGACAGCCAGCCAGGCCGGGGTTGGGCCCATGGGGGCGGAGGGGGGGTGGCTGGGAGAGGTTCTCAGGGGAAACACATGGCTTTGACCTTCAAGGAGCTCATGGGGGTTGTACAGGCCCAAAGTCCACTCACCACCACAGTCTCACCATGCAACCCCCCATCCCCTAGGATGGGTGGGAGTGGGAGGCAGAAGGGAGAGACTGGGGCCTGGGGACCTGGGGTGGCAGGGAGAGACAGGGAGATCCCAAGGGTGGTAAGGGCCGGCGGGGGCACTGGCAAGGGAAGGCCAGGCTGAGGGCCCCAGGGAAGGGGCAGAGGAGGAGCCCAGGAAGGAGTGAGGCTGGACAGTGAGGAACAGGGAGGGGAGGAAGGGCAGACCGGGGGACAGAGGGGACGTGGGGATGGGCCAAAGGAAGTAGAATGTTTCTACTGAGAGCAGAAGGCCCAAGAGAGACACCCCTGACTCAAGTAATTCCCCCAAGTTGCCCCCTGGCCCTGGAGCAGAGCTCTGAGCTGGAGGGGGTGGTTCTCCGAGAAAAGGCAGAAAAGCCAAGCACTTAAACGGGAGGGTCCAGGCCAGAGTCTGGGAGGCCAAGCAGGGCTGGGCAGCAGAGTCCAGTGGGCCTGCCCCCAGGGCACCCCACCCCCGCCCTCGGGACAGATTAGCGGTGTGTGTGAATGAGTGTGGAAGTGTGTGTGTGCGTGCACACATGC